AGCTCTCCTCTTAAGGAAGTTATGCTAGAAGTTCCTCCGTAGCTAGGCTGCAGCTGTTTCGATGAGTCTTTCATATCCCGTTAAAGTGGAGACGTTGGAGTCGCTGCTTCCTCGCCGGCCGCCATGTTGGATCCCTAGATCAGCTCTTGAACACACATGATTGCTGTCGTGAGTGACACATCTCACATCCCTCTGCTTTCTTTCTTATTTTTTAAGACTTTCAGCAAGTTTTTCCCAGCTACCTTCGTCCACATTAGAGGTCTCTCTCCTTTTACCCTGCATACATACCTCTCAGTACCTGCCACCCTGTCCACAGTGTTGTCTGGCCTATCTTCTCTTTCCCTAGACTGAGCTCCTACAGGACCAGGACCTGCTCTTCCATCTGGTCTGTGACTGGCCAGCTCTTCTTCCAGTGCTATTTGTTGAGTGAATGATGCGTTCATACGTCCTCCACCTCACTGAGTTCACTACGAAGCATTTGGTGTTTGCTTACTGAGGAAAGTAACTGTGCCGTCTTCTGTCTCTAGGCTAGGTCCCACCCAGCTGAAAATCTTCACTTGTGAGTACTGCAACAAGGTCTTCAAGTTCAAGCACTCATTACAGGCCCACCTGAGGATCCACACCAACGAGAAGCCCTACAAGTGCCCCCAGTGCAGCTATGCCAGCGCCATCAAGGCCAACCTCAACGTGCACCTGCGCAAGCACACCGGGGAGAAGTTTGCTTGTGATTACTGCTCTTTCACTTGCCTCAGCAAGGGCCACCTCAAGGTGCACATCGAGCGGGTGCACAAGAAGATCAAGCAGCACTGCCGTTTCTGCAAGAAGAAGTACTCCGATGTCAAGAACCTCATCAAGCACATCCGGGACACACATGATCCGCAGGACAAGAAGGTCAAGGAGGCCTTGGACGAGCTCCGCCTGATGACCAGGGAAGGCAAGCGGCAGCTGCTGTATGATTGCCACATCTGTGAGCGCAAATTCAAGAACGAGCTGGACCGTGATCGCCACATGCTGGTCCATGGTGACAAGTGGCCCTTTGCTTGTGAGCTCTGTGGCCATGGGGCCACCAAGTACCAGGCTCTGGAGCTGCATGTCAGGAAGCACCCCTTTGTGTACGTCTGTGCCATCTGCCTCAAGAAGTTCGTCAGCTCGATCAGGCTGCGCTCCCATATCAAAGAGGTGCACGGGCCAGCCCAGGAGGCCTTGGTTTTCACCAGCTCCATCAACCAGAGTTTCTGCCTCCTGGAACCTGGGGGGGACATCCAACAGGAAGCCTTGGCAGACCAGCTGCAGCTCGTGGAGGAGGAGTGTGTGTGCCAGGGGATGGATGTGCTCAAGGAGGAGACCTGTCCTGAGGCTGCTCAACAGGACGAGGGGCAAAAGGAACTGGAAGTCCCTGTTCACATGCCTGACTCGGCTGTGCCCTTGGTCACCACTCAGGTGGAAAGTACTGCCCTGTCTCCCTGTGAACTGGAAACCACGGTGGTCACATCAGATTTGCATTCTCTGGCTGTGGTTTCAGATGATTTTTTGTTGAAAAATGATGCCTCTTCTACTGAGGCTGCTGCTGCTGCTGCTGCTGCTGCTGCTGAGACAACCCTGGGTCCCCAGCATGGAGGCTCAGCCCAGACTCAGGGGCAAGAAATCACACTATTGCTGCCCAAGGCCAAAAATGTAGGACCCACTCAGGAGACCGAGAGTGCTGAGAGCCCACCAAGCGAGGGCCAGAAGGCAGCTGTACTTCCAGCCAGTGAACCAGATCCTAGCAGATGTCTCAGGTCAAACCCTGCTGAGGCTGCAGACCTCCTTCCTCAGGCGGCCGATAGTCGGGACATCATGTGTCGTCCTGACTCTTGTAAACCTGCCTCTGAGCACCGGCCTGGCAGCACTGCATTCATGAAGGTGCTGGACAGTTTGCAGAAGAAGCAAATGAACACCGGCTTGTGTGAGAGGATCCGGAAGGTTTACGGAGACCTGGAGTGTGAATACTGTGGTAAGGAAAGGCCGCACCGGGCGTGTGCCAAGTAAAGCTCTCTTTCCCAGCAGCCCTGTCCATGCCCAGGATTCTGTTACCTTGGGCTCTACTTGAGCTCATGTCTCTTTGCAAAGAACATCTTTTAAATGAGCCACCCTCCTCCATGGTAGATAGGAATAGGTGACCCTGTGTTGCAGGTAGCAGTTGGCATCTTTGGAGGCAGCCAGGATGACTGCACAGTTGACCGTGCTGGTGTGGTCACGTGCACATGCTGAGGGTTGCACACAGCCTCTACCAGCCCTTTGCCTAAGAAGAATCTTTCTTCTGGTATGTGACAGGTGTCAAGTTGAGCTCTGAGTTGTGGCCACTTCTAGGTGAGCAGAGAGAGGGTATGAAAATGGCTGCAGCTCTTGGTAGAGAGGCCCCGAATGGCACCCTTCCAGTGCACAGTGAAAGCATGACTCCTGGGTCTCCTGGGAGTTGGGGTGCAGGGACTGGGGAGCTCAACTCCAGACCCGGTGTCCTGGGACTGCCAGTGGGGTTGGTTTAGCGACTCCTCTGGTTGTGCATGTGCAGCATAGTGTTTGGTCCTCAGTGAACATTTCTTTCCCTTCCCCATCCCTAACAACATGCACAAGGTGATAGAACCTTAATGTGTGCAGTCTGCCACTGTTGAAAAGTAATTTCCAGACAGAATTGTGGTGGAAAGCATGAAAGGTGACCTGGACAAGCACGCAAGGGAGAGATCTAGTATTAAAAAATAATAATAATTTTTTAAAAATTCAAATTCAGTATAAAAGCAACTTCCTTGTTCTCATGTGAAAATATTTTTTTAGGCAAACTTTTTTGGTACCAAGTGCATTTTGACATGCATGTCCGCACCCACACCCGGGAACATCTGTATTATTGCTCCCAGTGTCATTATTCTTCCATCACCAAAAACTGCCTTAAACGCCATGTAATTCAGAAACACAGTAACATCTTGCTGAAGTGTCCCACTGACGGCTGTGACTACTCGACTCCAGATAAATATAAGCTACAGGCACATCTTAAAGTTCACACAGAGCTGGTAAGTAGCACGCCCGAGTGGCAGCCCTGTCTCCCCTGGGTGCTGATTGCTTTCTCAGATTGATGCATATGGAGGTGTCCCCGCTGCAGGCCATCCACATGTGGACGTCCAGTTCTGAAAGCAGAGAGGGCCTTCCCCTCCCAGCTCCTCCTTCACGGAAGGCACCACCAGACTGCTTTCACAGCCAGGAGTCACTAACATGTTGAAAAAAATGATTAGAATGAACAAATTGCTTTCTGTGCAAATTTGTCAGCATCTGTGAAACGTCCCCAGAAGAAAGATCTACAGAATAGAAATAAAGCAAGGATTTCTGAAACGACATTTTGAAGAGTTACCAGCAATGGGGATGATGATAATAGCTGCCACTGGATGTTGTTGGGAGATTAAATTAGATAACAGAGTAAATTAGATGATTGTTCTAGGAGTATTGGGCACATTTAAGAACACAGAGAATGCTAGTGAGGACTGTTGTCATGTTACTGTGTTATTTGTTGTAAAGCACTCATAGTGTCTTTGAAGCACTTTTATTAAAAAAAGTGATGTGTTAATTGGAGGTGCTGTCGGTATTCACAGTGGCAGTATTGGTTTAGTTCTCTGGTGGAAGATCATGTAACATAAATGAATGCTTATTTTTGTAAATTTCAACTTGACTCAAGAGGCTGACACCTGAGAGTGAACTGAGCTCTCTCAAGTCATAGAGTAGGCACACCTGGCACCAGGGGTGGTTGTGTTTTAACTGCATGTTGTTTACTGGCACAGATAGCACAAGATGAGGCTTCAGAAATTTGGTGTGCTGCCATGGCTTTGTGGCATAAAAACTACTAACCCCCTGGCATTTCGTCACTAAGGGTGAAGTCAAGGTGTTTGGGTACAGTGGGTTTTGAGGCTGAATGCTGACTTCCAATACTGTCTCCAGCATGCTCACAGGCTCTGTGGCTTTGGACAGATCACCTGTCCTTTCTGAGATCTTTCACAGCATTTTATGTGAAACATAAAAATCCATTTTATATGCATGCACACACGTTTACATACATGCTTACATGTAAACTCAGGTACATATATACACATTTATATTCAGATGTGTTTACATACCCCCTCCCTATGTGCACATAGATGTTGTGGAGCTCCCCTGTGGATACTGGGAGGTTGTGTGGAATACTCTAGGTAAAAGAGATGGGCGTGGTGCTGGCCATGTGGTTGGTTGTGTGTGGCTTCTGCTTGGCATCCAGCACTTCCTGGTTCACAGTTTTTCTTCTTCCTTGTTTGTCTCTCCTCTCATCCTCCCCACTCCTCCTCCTCATCTCCCCGCCACCTCTGAGCAGGCCATCAAGCATCAAGGCATGAGTTTGTAATTTTTTATGGAATTACTTCCTGTTTGACATTGCTTCCAGTTCCCTCTTAGGGCAAGAACAGAGGTGGCAGAGTTCACTAAAGTGCCTTTGCTGCACAGTCTTCTGTGGTTGAGAGAGAGAGAAGCTGGTGTGAGAGCAGCTTCTTGGGAGAAGACCTGTTTGTGGTGGTTGAAAGCAGGAAACACACTGCTGGGCGTTAACCCTGGCACCCCATTTCCCATGTGCAGCCTTGGGCTGAGTCCCATCACCTTTCTGTGCCTCAGTTTACCCATGCTCAGCTGAGGATGAACTGAGGGACGTTTGTCAGTTTCTCCTAACAGTGCCTGGCCTGGACAAGCACTGTGGACTGTAGCACCCTGGATTTCCAGGCTTTGAGCCTTAGGCTGTGTGAATGACAACTGGGGCCAGTTGTGGATGAACTTGACCGGCTGGGCTGCCTCGTTTATTCCGCACTCAGGTTTTGCTCCCATGCCAGGTGTGTTCCAGGAGGCTCCTGGTCTAACCAGCTATCTTTTTGCTCCTCCATGTTGTTGCTCAGCTTCTTGCCACCCTGGGGGCCTGCGGTCAGCAGGGGAGTGTTGGAAACATCCCCGAGGTCATTGGCTTGAGTCAGAAGCCTCCATTCCTCTCGACAGTGGCATTTCTCTTTCTGTGGGTTTGAATCTTCCTTCTAAGGGCTTGTCTCATCAATAGGAGGTGAAGGCATCTGGGGAGGTAGATGCTGTTTGCATCCCGTGGCCACGAGTGCGCTATTTACTTAGTAATCTCCAGGAGCAGAGGATTATTCGCCACCTGGGCAGCTCAGGAGGCTTCTTGTCCACACTCTTCTCCCTGCCCCGCACTGTACCCGTTGTGTTGGCCATTCATCCTCAACCACACGGTTCTCGGTGGGTTTTCTGCCACTCTGTCATTTGGAGGAGCAGGTGGAAGTAGGCTTTGTCCTTGGAGGGCAGAGGCTGCGTGGGTGCTTTCTGTGCTGCTGCGTGGCCCACGCTGTGTTAGTGAAGGTCTCTGCGCGTTGCTCATGGAGAGGTGCAGGGCTGAGCATGGCAGCGTGACCTGGCCAGCCTGTGAGAGCCATGCTGTCCTGCCTGTCGTCAGCATGCACGTTTTCTTAGCCGTGTTACAGTGTGATTTCCTCCTTGGCCACACTGACATTTGCAAGTCTTACAAAGGAGACCTGTTCAGAGATGAACAGCTGCTGAGGTCATCATCTCCAGCTGGGCTTCAGGTACGGGTAAGGTGGGTCCCTGCCTCTAGGCACTCTTGCTGTTGTTGGGGAGAAGCTATCAGTGAGGGCAGTAGGCAGTGGGTGTGAGCCAGGTCACCAGAGTACCTCATGCCCTGTGCCCTCCAGGGAGGGCCTGCAAGGAGGATTCTGAAGTTGATGAGCAGATCTGGGTCAGGCAAGAGGACGTGGGGGCCAGAGCCCAGGAGACTCCCTGGCACAAGCCCAGGGAAAGCTTTTTGATTCTATGCCATGTGTGTGCTGTTGCTGCTATGCTGGGAGCATGATTTATGAAAAAAGGTACCAGTATTTTGGGTTTAGACAATACTTGTCTTCTGAGCCTGTAAATTATTTCTGTAACGAAGCCACAGGTTCCATGGGCAAGCCGGCACTGGGAAGTCTTCTGCTCCCCTGAATGTGGATGCGTTTGATCTGACAGTAAAGCTGCTCTCTCCAGAATTCAGGGTCTGCAAGGAAAGTTACCAGGAATTTTTTTTTTTTTTGGTAACAGTTTTATTGAGATATAATTCACATGCCATACAGTTTGCTCATTTAAATGTGAAATTCAGTAGTTTTTATTATATCCATAATTATGTGACTATCAGCACAATTAATTTTAGAACACATTTGTCTTCCCATGAAGAAGCCCATTTCCATTAGCTCTCGTCACTCTCTGAGCCCCTACTTTCCATCTCTTGATTTGCCTGTTATGGACATTTCTGYCTGAGCCGCCGTCTTCTGTGACTGTGTCTTTCATCTTGTCATCGGTAGTGTAGCATGTGTTCACACTATGCTCCTTGTCATAGCTGGATGGCTCTGTGTTGTGTGGATGCTCTGCACTGTGCTGAGTTTGAGGGACACTTGAAGCTGTATTTCTGGTGGTAACGTCACAGGGTGGAGCTCCCAACTATAGACTATCCTTAAAAACATTTTCAAAAATTTGAAAACTGTAAGAAACTGCGCCCCATCCTTGTTCAGCAGTGCTGTCTTCACGGTCCCTTCATTGCCCCGTTCTTGTTGGGAGTGGTGTCATCATTGCCGTGATGCCGATGAACTTCAGGATGTAGGTCACAGGACAGGGTGGCAGCTCCAGTTCTGTATCCTTGTGCAGACGTCTTCATTTTTTCTGAGCTCTGTTTCCCTTCTCCAGAAAGTGGAGTGACACCTCCCCCTGTTTCTGAGATAGAATGTATGAGAAGTGAAAGAGCCTAAGGATGTCCTCGTGGTGGAGCTGAGGTTCCCACCATGGCAGCATCTGGCTGGGTTAGGGAGTGGCACTGTTAATTGGGAAAAGCATGGAGACTGGAGCTTTCTTCCTTTACCCATGCCCTGGCCATGGGAGCGGGTCTTGCTATAATTCTGGCTGGGATTTTCCATATTAGCTTCAGCTTTTACTGCTTTGAGCTCAGATTTCCATACAGAGCAAAAACTAAAGCCATTTAAAATAGCAGCCCTCTTACCCTTTAAAGGGCCTATATCTAGGTCCATTCCTGTTGCATTAGGATGCTGGGATAACTTGGCAAATTGCCAATTCTGTGACTCTGCCCATTCTTTCTTAGCTAAAGATATATGTAATGATTGGAAAGAGTGTGCACATCTAGCATAGCTTCTTCCCACCACTTCCTCTTTTCCATTAGTAACTCTGTGGTGTCAGTTCATAATCAAAGACATGCAATCATCTCTTGGTATCCATGGGGATTGGTTCTAGGTTTCCCATGATGCCAAAATCCAAGGATGCTCAAGGTCCTTATGTAGATTAGTATGGTATTTACGCATAACCTCCCAGGTATTTCAGATTGTTCCTAGACTTCTTATAATATCTAATACAGAGTAAATGCCATTTGAACAGTTGTTATACTGTTGGCTAGGGAATAATAACAAGAAAAAGTACAGACTTTTCTTCCCAGTATTTTGGATTCACAGTTTGTCGAATCCACAGATGAGAAACCTGTGAATTTGGAGGGCTGGCTGTATTGGCATCAAGGAAATTTGGGGACCTAGTCAAGGAAGTTAGTCGATGACATTTCTAGAGCAAATTCTTTTTTTTTTTGTAGCATTGTATAAACTCTGTAAAGAGGAGACTTCAGAAAACACAGTTTTAGGAGAAGGAAAGGGGGCTTTGGGTTCTTATATGCTGAAGTTCAGATCTCATATCCATCTCTGTGATTTTGGGCCAATTGCTTAGCTCTCCCAAGCCTCAGTTTTCTCATCTGTAAAATGGAGATAAGGTCCTTTCTCTTATTTCTCATAGTTGTGAGGATTAAATTAGAAAAAAAGTCCAGAACACCCAGGTCAGCATTCTTTCAGAGGAAAGATCTATGGGTCATGATCCATGAGAAGCTTGTGAAATCCATTTAGTATGGCATGGCTAGCTATTTTAAAAACAAAATAGGATAGAATAAAATAGAATAAAATAGAACTCCCTAGCAGTGTTCACCCATAGCCAGGGCGAGGCTGCTTTCTGGGGCCTGGGTTTCAGGTTAAGCATTCCTCTGTGAGTGCGTACAGTGTGCTGGCAGTGCTGTCAAGTGGGCGACCTCCAGGGGGTCCTGTTTTAGAGGTCTGTGGCTTACAATCCATGGAGATTGGTTCTGACCTCTGTGATGTAATCAGTGACCTCCTGAGTCTCAGTCCAGTGGGGGCAATTGTTAGCGTGCAATTCCTGGGCTCCCAGCTTCGTCACAATTTGAGGGGCACTCGGGGATTCTGTCAAAGCAGTTCCTCCTAACAGAAGTGTGAAACAGCAGGGAGCCGGGCTTATGGTGTGTGACATGACAATTCCCTGTGCTTTGGACTTTCTCTGTTTTTTGATAGGGAAAAAAAAAAACCTGTTCATTTATTTTCATTGGTACACTATAATTATACATAATGGTGGGCTTCATTATGCCATATTCACGTGTGCACATACATAGCAAAGCACAGAGAAAGTAGAGGAAGCTACCTGTGATATCTTTCGGGAAATAAACGGGTACTTCTGGTCAGTATGTATTTTTATCGAGTAGAGGAAACCATTATTTAAAGTGATTGAACATAGTGTTCTTCTTTTTTCAAGAGCTGCAAGAATGTGGTCTTGTCTTATTGGATCACAAAGCAAGCTGGTTTCTCTGTGGTCCTGTTGGGGCATTTCATCTACTGTGCAAGAGGCCTTAGGCGACCAGAGCTTGAATGTAGAATATCTGTATTTTAGCAAGAGCTGAGATTCGCTCTGAAGGGGTATGTCGTGGCAAAACAGGACTGTCACCAGTGGAAAGTAAAATCTTCTGCCACAGTCCTCAGTCAGGTGCTTCTAACTTGATCAAACCTACACGACCTAAGCGCCGCGTTTCCTGGGCCTCCTCCCTCCGCGCTGATTGGTGGGCTCTGAGTATGGGTGTGTCTCTCTAGTGAGCCAGTGTGCCCTGGGTTTCACACCTTCATCCCTGGCACGTAGTGGGGCCCTGTAACCTTTGAGGAATGAGTGAGTGAGGCTCTAGAGGTAAGTGAACCCCATGACCACAGAATTTATTTGTGAGAAGTTGTTAGTGTGAAATTCCCTCCCTGTGTTTCGGTGACTTGATATTGGGTATTTCATAGGGCCACTTACTCCTGCGTGGGTTACATACGTGTGGTGTGGAGGTTCAGTTTGATATTGTCACCCAGGACTAGTTTTCAGTCCTTTGGGGCCCAAGCCACCTGCCTCAAGGAGCTCCGAGTAGTGACTGGACTGTGCACCTTGGACCTGAGGCTGGCTCTGTACCACTTGCCATGCCGTGGCTCATGCTGGCACCCCACTTCTTTCAGAGGGTCCTGACTGCTTTGAAGGTGCCTCCATCTGAACACAGACTCCAAGGCCTGGGCTCTTTCGAATTCATATGACCTGACCTCTCTCCCACTCCCCAGCCTCTGCCAGGAGTTCTTTAAACCACAGCTCTCTTTAAGTTTGCTGTGTGTGTTTGGGCTTCATCTCCAGGAAGAAACTGATATTTTGAAATTGAAGTAAATGGGTTCCAAGAGTCCACCCTTTTCCCAACTCCTTCCAACGCTTCATGTGTCCTTCTGGCAGTCTTCAAAGGCATCACAAAAGAGGGGTCCTTATAAGCTCCAAGATAAATTGCTTTCAGACTATCAGGGATTAAAAGAAGAAAATCAAATAGCAAGGGCCCCAGGAGGTCAGTGTGAACTCCTTCAAAGCCCTTCTGAACACCTCCATGCGCCCTGATAATGAGGGTGCTCAGGGGCCACTAGGGTGGTGGGGCCTCCCCAGGATGGTGCAGGGAGGCTCAGTGCATCTTTCCAGCATGGCACTGTGCGCGCAAGGTCGAGGGCAGTGCAGGACAGGGACGGGAGTACACCGAGAAGCAGTAATTTGATTGACGTAGCCCTGTGTTGCAGGAGGATCTGTGGTTGGCCAGAGAGCTCAGGGTGGGTCCTCGGGAATTGCCTGGGCTTGGCAGGCATTTCTGGGTCCCAGGTGTTTGGTGGGAAATGTGTTCAGACTGTTCTGAGAGACTTTTATTTTGTTTCTTAATTCAACATCCCCTTTCCTATGTGTGCTCTGGGGAACACCAGTCTCAGGAGATATTGTGCAATAGCACAGAGACCCAGTCCACAGAGGAGTTTGGGGGTACTCATTTAGATACCCCTCTCAGAGAGATTTCTGGGTACATTAGCCCAGAATAAGGTCAGCATCTTGTGCCAAGTTGCAGGATGACATGCAGAAGTGTAGTATGTGAGCCGAGATGGATGAATACCCCACTTGCTCTGTATGGTCTTGACATCCTTGGCACTCCATGAGTGAGACACTGTTTTTATTGCCATTTAATAGAGGATGAAACGGAGGCACTGGAAAGCCAAATCCCTTGCAAGTTCCCAGCTCTTAAGGGGGAATCTCGGGGGCTCTGAGACCTGAGTCTGTGCCTCTGATCATAGCCTCACAAGAGCACTCTGGAGGCCAGAGGCCTGGTTTGGATTTCCATCCCTGCCCTTTGTGGTGGCATGACCTTGGCACGTTCTTGTGTGTGTGGTGTGGTGTGGTGCTGGTGGTATGTGGGTGTGGCATGGGCTGTGGGCATGCCTCCCTTCACTGAGGCAGGGATGCACTTACCGGGTGCTGAGTTCCCAGGTGGGAATTCTGCCGCCAGCCCTCATGTGAGCATGGACCGTTCCCGGGTCCAGAGTGTCTCTTTAACCAAGGGCTTCTGTGAGTCTTGCTTTCGGGTTTCCTTCATCTGCATGCAGAGGTCCTTCCCACCGGGCTTTGGCTGCCCGGAAGACATGGGCTTGGGAGGTATGTCAGAGGAGCCCACACTGGGTGGCTTACACAGCAGGCCTCTGTGGTCTCAGACTGAAAGTCCTGGGTCAGCATGTCAGCCGGTCGCTTCCTTCTGAGGACTGTGAGGGAGCATCTGCCTAGGACTCTGTCCTGGCCTCAATGTCCTTGGCCTGTGGGTGCCTCAACCTGAAATTCTCCCTGAATTTGTATATAACCTTTTTCTTTTTATAAGGATACTAGTCATGTTGGATTACGGCCCACTCTGGCAACCTCATTTTACCTGGGTCCCTTCTGTAGGGACCTTTTTTCCCAAGAAGGTCACGTTCTATTGGAGGTCAGGACTCCATTCCAGTAATTTTGTGGGGACCTCAGTTCAACTCATAACACCGATTCTTCTGGGGAAAACTGATGTGAAGTAGCTCTCAAGTGAGCTCTGGGATGCAGGGAGATGAGCAAAGTGTATGGTGGGGTCCTCCTGAGAGCTGCTCCTGGTGTTGGGTGTGGAACACTGGTGATCACGGTTGACCAAGCTGCCACTGGTGCAGAGTGAACTCGTTTCCTGCAGCCTTGGGGGGACATGGTCTTGGAGTGGCAAGAGGCCTCCTGTGGGGACACCTGGACACTCCTATTCTAACACCCGACCCTTCTCTCAGACTTTGGCCTCAACTTCTCCATCTATAACATGAACATGAGCAGCTCTTTCCTTTTGTGGTTGCTGTGAATCTCAGTATAGTGACTCACAGGAACCCTTGCAGAGCACACAGTGATCCCTGGGAGTGCAGTCTGCTGCTGGGTTGTGGAGTAGCACTGGTCCAGGTGTCAGGACTGTGGCTTGACCACAGCCCCAGGACTGTGGCTTCTAAGCCCCTTCCTGAGACAGAGCTGATTCCCGGCCCCTCCACTGAGCTCTCTGGGCTGTGCAGGGCCCAGTGGAGGCAGTTAAGCTCTTGGAAGTGTGCACCATGTGTCTAGTTTTGACAAGACTGCCGTTGCTGATGGTGGAGGTGGTGGTCATGGTGGTAGTGACGATGATGATGGTGGTGGTGATGGTGGAAGTTACTTTTCTACAGATGGCCAATTGATTGTGTTCTCTTTCTATTAAGGACAAAAGGAGTTATTCTTGTCCTGTGTGTGAAAAGTCTTTTTCAGAAGATCGATTGATAAAGTCACACATCAAGACCAACCATCCTGGTAAGGTTATGGATTTTGGAGTGGAAGGTTAATTTTAAAATGCTTATGTTTATTTTAAAACTCAGCATTTTACATTAACTGTGCTATCTGGGAATGAAGAGGGATGAAGACATGCGAAATTCGAGGGAAACAATCATTCGTATTTAAAGCTGGGATAGCTGTATAGCTGTTTCATTTTTTGCTCTCATCTGGTCTTTAGCTCTGCCTTCTTCCACCCCTGGTGGTTTCAGTGACCCCGCTCCCCTTCAGTGTGAACCCAGATGCCTTTCCAGGGTCTCCTCAGCTTCAGCTCTGACCTAGATCCTTCCTTATGCCTGGCCCTTGTCCTAAGTTGGTGTTATCCAAAGTGGTGGTGTATAGTGGCATTGGCCCCACCAGGCTGAGAGGCTTCCCTGACTTGGAGTGACAGTGTGGACTTCTCACCCCATACTGCTCAGACATGTGACCCATGACTACCTGCGCATCCACATGAGGAAGCTACCCTCTCTTGCCTGGTTAATTCCTGTTCATTGTCCTCCTTCAAAGCCCTATCCTCTGGGAGGCTCTTGTGGCCACTCCTCCTGCTGACACTGTGGTGTGCTGGCCACTTGTACTCTCCCTGTGCCCCACAGGATCCTTGAGGTGGGGCTTCCCCCTACACATGCAGGGCCAGGGAGAGCAACGCCAGCCCTCTGCACTGTGTGAATGTGTGACAGTCAGGACATGTGGCTCTCTGCGTCCTTGCCTCTTTCCACTTTTCCCATCTGCCCTGGCATAAAGGAACTAACTCGCTGATTGTGAATGACAAGACACGGAGGCAGATAAATAAGGGAAGGGCAGTAAACACCCCTGTTTCTCTGGGAATGGACTGCCTGAGCCCTCATCAGTGTCACAGCACGTGGGCCACCTGATGCTATGAAGGCCCAGTTCTGTCCTTCACCTGGTTACCTGTGTCTTAAGTGACCAGTGGCCCAATGTGAGCCAAAGGTAGTCATGTAAAATTTCCAGCCTTTGAAGAGAGGTGAAACATTCTTTCTTCATTATTTTAAACTTTATTATGGAAAACCTCAAATTCGAAAGTACACTGAAAAAGTTAAGGACCCCACGTATCCATGACTCAGCTTCCACAAGCGTCTGCACTTTGCAGATTTTCTGTTAGTGTATCTACCTTATAAACTTTTTTTAAGAATATGATATCATACCATTTCTCCATGAAAACTTTACAAATCATATCATACTAAGTCAGAGTTTTCTCAACCTAACCACCATTCACCATGAGAAGCAAAATTAACAGTGAGTCCTTCTTTCTACTTGTACTTGCTCATCTAATCTTAAGTGGCAGGCATTTTTGTTTAGTGATTATGTCACTTGCCTGTGGCCCCCCAGCCTTCCCACCCCGACCTTTTCTCCATGCTATTGATTTCTGAGAGAAACTGAGTTTCTTTTGTAGAGACTGTGTTATGTTCTGCATTCATCTGATTATTGCTTTGGATTTTTTCTTCACTTCTCAGATTCTGATTTAGCTTTTTAGACAAAAATGCTATCTCACGACACCATGAGGCATGTCCTGACTTGCGCCTGCAGGGATAGGTGCTGCTACCCTGGGCCGAGGGCCTTCGTCTCCCTGACTGCTGTCTACTTCTGTTTCAGAGGTCTCCATGAACACCATTTCCGAGGTTCTTGGGAGGAGGGTCCAGCTGAAGGGGCTCATTGGAAAGAGAGCTATGAAGTGCCCGTATTGTGATTTCTACTTCATGAAGAACGGCTCAGACCTTCAGCGTCATATTTGGGCTCATGAAGGTAAACAATTGTCTTTCCATATGGAGCAGCCATTCAGTTTTGTGCTTCCATGCTTCACTCTGGGAGTCAATGGGGAGGAAGCCCTGTCCTCGCGTCCCTACGGTTGGGCTTTCTTTAGCTTAGAGAGCTGTGTCCACCAGCCAGCTGAGATCATTGATGGCATCATTACCTGATCAGCTGCATTTGCAGTGAGCAGAGGTTGCACTTCTTCCTAGCTCTGGGTCAGTTGTACTGAGCTAAATTGCCATGCCTCCCCTGCCAGAAAGCAGGTGCCAGATGCAAGACACTGCCTTATTCACAGCAGTGGCTTGGTGCCTGCCATGGTGCATTGCCTTATCGGGCATGAAGAACTGTTATGTTGTTACAAGTGAACGGAACAGAGGCAGCGATGGCTGCAGGCATGTGGATTGCTGCCAGTCATGTCATGGGGAGAGCTTCTGAAGGTGGGAGTGCCAAGTGGAGATGAAGTCATGCAGAGAGGATGTGGGCTCTGCTTGGGGCTTGTCTGTGGGAAGCACCTGGAGCCGAGCCACTCTCTGGGATTAGAGGAAGTTGGAGGTTGAGGTTCTATTAGAGACTAAGGATAAGGCAGGAGCAAGGGCCAGGAGGAGAACCTCTAGACTTTAGCAGTAGCCCCTTGCCTACCTGTTAGGAGCCTGACATGTGGCAGGGGAGAACAAGACTAAAGAGGGGCTGAAGGATGAGGTATTTTCTGCAGTTGGGATAAAAATGACCTATTGTAAACTCTGGGGGGAACTGTTAGGAAGGGAGGGGCCAACAGACCAGGAAAGAGAAGCATAGCTGGTGGTGTAGGAGCCAGGAGGAGACAGAGGCTTGGAGACCAGATGCCAAGGCTGGGAGGTGCTTTTTCATTTATTGGCATTTACTGATGCTTGTGGGCTGCCAGACAGTGTGCTCAGTGTTTTGCTCACACTATTGGACTCAGTACTTGCAGTAACCTTAGAGACAGGTACCGTGGGAATATAAACCACCAGGGATTTGGAGCAATGAGGTCTTGGTGTAAAACCTTCAGTAGAGGCTTCCTGCATTGGAGCTGGAGACCTGGGATGCTACTGCACCCCCATGGGATGTGCTTTGATGTGTATTTACCATTTGGGAGAAATCTAATATTTTAAGCAACTTTAGAATTCTGATAAAGTTTCAGAAAACCAAGGACTTCTGCTTTTCATTGGAAAGTCCTGATATTATTTTTTTTTGCTAGTCTGACTATTTCTATAGTGATGAAATCATGTAGGAAAAAAGCATATTTGTGCACACTGCACTACTTGATTCCATGGAGTTGATCCCTACATGATAATTATTCATTCTCTCTGTTCCCTCTCAAAATGAAACACAAAATAAGGAAAATAGAAATAATAACCAAGTAAATAAAAGAGGAAAACATTGAAAATACCAAGAAAAATGAAGAAAACATGGAAAGTAGCTGTAGTAATTAACTATGTGTAGCCATGTTTTTATACACATACCATTTATTGTTCGTTGGATCTGTTTTTGTTCAGGGTTTCATTGTGGTTGAGTGATGCACTGGGACTATCCCCACAGCTGTTCTAAACACTGGCTCCTGCGGGTAAGAGCAAAGGAGCATGGAGGGGGCAGAATCTGGTCCCTTCCAGTGGGGCTACCTCATGGAGAAGCTAGAGGTCTTCATAGCTAGGCTGGCCACTTCAGCTGCACCTCTTCCTTGACCACACGTGACATGAGGGTGTAGAGGTACATAGCCATCCAGGCACAGCCGGGCACTGGGAGGGTGAAGAGTCTCTGAGCAGCAGTGTGGCTCTCCTCACTCCTCTCAAGATGAAGAACAGAAGTTAGGACTTTGTCTTCTTAGGACTGTGAGAGAGCCTCTCTCTGCATTCCTGAGCTCTTTAACCTTTTAGAAGAACATTTGGTTAAATAGTACCTGAATATAATTCAACTCTTCTCACATTTATGAAGTGTATTCCTCTTGTGTGGACTTCTCCTTGGTGATGATACTGCTGATCTGTCCTTAGCTGCGACTGGTGTTTGAGAGCCTGGTCAGGGTACTGGATCAGCATGTGATCCAGAAAGGCTGCTCACCAGGCTGGGACCAGACTGCAGCCTGTTCTCATGCAGGTGTATTAGAAGTGAACTGCCCAGAACACAGGCCAGCAGCCAGATGTTCCTTGGGAGGTGGTTGATGGTCTTATCACTTACAAACATGATGTCCATAATCTAAGCATTAGTTTAAGGTCATGAAGCTTATTATGGTTATGGTTAGATTATTACTGTTATCTCCAGAACTCCAGCCCCATGATGGGCTTTGGTGGACTGTGAAGTATGCTAGTCCCATAAGTGTCTATGCCCCTGGACACATCCCACAGCCTCTTTAAAGCCTCCATTTTCTCAACTCCAAAGTCATAGATGTTATGGACAATGGGTGAAAATGTCTGGCCTGCCAAGCATTACCCTGTGTTTAGGGCTAGGGAACCCGCTATCCCTCACCCTCATAAAATATTACCTGTGCTATAATGGCCTGTTTACTTGTCTGCATCTCCCACTGGACAGCTGGGGCAGGGACCAAGCCTTCTCAGTTTCAAGATTAGCCCTCAGAGGTTAGTGTAAAAGTAGGTCCCCTGTAGATGTTTGTTGAATGAAGGAATAGTTTGATGCCAGGTGCTCCTACAGTTTGAGTCATTGGCCCCAAAATGGTGTTATAAAGCTGTTAATCCTATGAATTAATGTATGTTTTCACATTCGATTTTGAGTGCCCAATCACATTGATTTTTGCAAAGGCCCTTGGGGTCCTTGATTTTGTTCATTTTAACTCAGTTCAATTGAATTTAATGATTGTCTGCTCTGTAAGTTGCTCAGAGTTTCTGTCCCCTGGGATTTCCCAGACTACGGGGCAATGCAGATGTGAATAGCTTTCAGTATTGTGCTGTGAACATTCTAGCAGTAGGGTTATAGGATTTGGGAACCCTGACAGGTGGGAAATCTATGTGAGAAGGTCAGAGAAGGCAGCAACGGGGAGGCAACTTGGCTGCCCAGCAGGAAAGAGCATCCTTATGTGAGGGACAGGTTGGGAAGAGCCTGGCACTGAGAGTATGGAGCGTGTTCAGGAGGAGCAAGTGTGCCTCCTTGTTCAGATGGACACTGTCAATATAAATCTGTTGCTTTGGATTCATACACACACACATGCAAGTGTGTATGTGAAAATGGTATATACTTTTTTCCCCTGGTAGGTGTGAAGCCCTTCAAATGTTCTTTGTGTGAGTATGCAACTCGTAGCAAGAGCAACCTCAAGGCTCACATGAATCGTCACAGCACTGAGAAGACCCACCTGTGTGACATGTGTGGAAAGAAATTCAAATCCAAAGGAACACTGAAGAGCCACAAGCTACTTCACACTGCTGATGGTGAGCCAGCGACCCCAGTGGGGCTCTGTAGATCTGTGGCTTGAGACTGACCTGCCAAGCCCAGCAGAGGCTGTGGTGTCCCTGGGGCAGGTGCACGGGGGCGGGGGAACAGAGGTAGTTTTAGAGAGTGGATCTTCCCAAGGTGCACTAAGGTCCTGGCCTGTCTTTCTTTGTCCCCTGCCTGAGCTGGAACAATCCTGACTTCCAGAAGGTGCAGGATAAACACTCTGGGATGCAGGTGTGTCCGAGATGTGGGGGAGAGAGCTTCCTGGAGTGAGGCATCCTCAGAAGGCCTTGAGGTTCAGAGAGTTTCTGCCTTCCTTAGCCACCATTCCACCTGGAGATTGGGGACCCAAAGAGGCAACTCTGATTGGCCCTGGCTTGATTTTTCAAGCTTGTGCCCTTTTCATCCAAGCCACATTAGGGCTCCTGTGTTCAGTTTAGAATGAGGCTCAACCTAAAGACTTGACTTTGTGAAATATACCAAGTGGATTCTTGGTTTCATTCACTCCTTGAGAACCACTGGCTGATTATGCATGTGCCAATCCTGATGGTAGATTCTCAGGATGCTAGTCTGTAGGCACCATCTTCCCTGTCTACATAAGAAGACACCTTGCCTGTATTCTTGCAGCAAACTCCTCCCAGCTCTCCCACTTCTGCCCCAGGGTCCTCTGTCGGGATAGGCCAGTAATTGTGCTGATTTGCTTTCATTCTAAGTCAAAGCCCAAATCCGCTCCAAGACCCAGCTCTTGCCTTCAGGGAGGCTGAGATGTGGTGGGTTGGGGGCTGGCGGGGAGGCCACAGTGAGGATGAGTACTAGAATGTGGGAGGGCCTCTGGAGCCCTGGGGACCAGGGTAAGAATCTAGGAGGGTGGAGAGGCCCAGCACTGAAATGTGTCCCCTGGCATGGGCTGGACCCAGGAAAGGAGATTTGTTCTAAGAAAAAGGTAGCTAAACCACAAAAGGCTTTAAATAACTGTAATTTTTACTTAGAAACCCCAGCTATATAAGGGACTTGTGAATACTCTAGATCTATAGATTTTACTTATAAAATTTTCCATAATTATATACAAAAAATAGAGTTTCCTGTGAAGGTAAAATTTCTCAGCAGTGATCGTTAACTTCAGAACTCAGGGGATAGTATAGCTGTTAGGTCGTGCCTTGTGTGCATGTTCTGAACATCAGTCCTGTAGTGTGTGCACTGATTGGATCCTTGGCAGGAATTGGGTTGAGCTTGAGGGACTAAGGAGAGAGGCTGTGGGTTGACTGGGATTCCGAGAAGTGATTGGTCAAGGGCTTGGTGAAGGGAGAAAACTTGTACAGTCCTATCTGCATACAGTCATCCATAATCAAAATAAAAACTATGAGGGTTAAGCAGCCAGGTGTGATTAGTGAAGGCATCAAGGCCATCTGTTGAGTGTGAATTCTGTACCTCCTCAAGCAGTAGCCTTACTTATCTCTCCTCTCTGTCAACATCTCAGCAAGAATCATGTTTCTTGACGTGGTTGCACATTTCTTGCTGAAATTCTCAGTCATGAAGAGCAGCTGTCCCCAGAGCCAGGAGTCTGGAGTGTTCCCTGCGCTGTGGTAGCAGGGTAAGGAGGCATTCATGGGGACTGGAACGGGCACAGTGGCCTCAGGCGTGGCTGGGGATCTGGGCTGTGTGGAAAAAGGCTGTGCAATGGCCAGGGTGTCTGCTCAGGTGGGCCCTGGATCACCAGTGTTGCCTTAGAGGGAGGATGTGAGAAACCCACGTGATAAAAGAAACTTTCCTCATTGGGGGGTAATTATTAGTTTGATAATGGTCTTAAAAATCAGTAAAAAGGAGAGAGAGAGAGAGAGAGAGAGAGAGAGAGAGAGAGAGAGAAAGAGAGAGAGAGACTGAGACTCCTCTGGAGGGGAGGGGTCCAGAGCTGGTGCCTGAGGGAGTTGGGGGTTGTCTTGACCCTTTATAGATTTCTGAATTTAGACAAATTATTCTACTTTAATAAGAAGAAATTGTTTTTATATTACTTTAATTGAACCTCAATTGAAAACTTTTGTACTCTTTGTATGTATAATTATATCTAATAGTAACCTGGTTTATAGTGAAGACACATACCCAAAGCATTTGTAAGCCTTTTTCCATTTACCAATTTATGAAAACACATTTAATGTTTAAATATATTACCTTCTGGAATTTAAGAAGTCAAGAGTTGTTGATTTTATACTTAGCAGATGATGTTTTAGAACTTTAACTTTGCTAACGAACACATTTATGATTAATCCCATAGATGTTAAAACTGATTTACTAATTTTTAACAGTAAAAACTAAGATATCAGACAAGTGTAGTTAACAGTATTAGCTGTCTCTTCCCTGTTGGAGCAAAATCCTGGAGGCAATAGATATTACATTCTAGACATTTTATAGAAACTAAAACTCTTTTAATTGTTTCACCACCAAGAAAAATTTGTGAGTTAATAATTTTAAAGACATATTTACTCTCATCTGTTTACCTAATTTAAATTGAAGTTTTTTTTGAAGTCACGTGAACTGGAAGGTATTTGGTCCATTTCTCATTTAAATTTTGATTTATGAGTGATCATTTATCTATATACCAATTTTGATACCATATACATGATGTGTGGACACAAGCACATGTGTAGACACAACAATACAATACATAGGTATGCACATATAAATAAACATTCAGGAAACAAAGATGTTGTAGCTCTTTATAGGTAGATCTCCACAGGTTGGAGACAATGCTAATAGTAACCTATCTAATAGTAACCTGTTAGTAATCTGTTTTTAACCTGTTAGAAATTTAAATGGAGCCTCCCAGACTTTTACATTATGACTTAAATATAGGGCAGGTTTGTACAGCTGCAAATGTTAGATGTAAACTCCAATAGCCATTGTGGACACTGAAATCAAGGGTTCAAGTGGCCACTTGTCCTTGATGGCTATCAGATTTATTCTCAAAATCACCATGTCTGTGTCTGTCTTATGATTTTGTGAAAGGAGATTTTCCAATGTATTTGAGAGCTAATCCTTGAAAAATTGACCTTTGAACAGAGAGTATTAAAAACTTCTATAGTTAGATAAAATAAAACTTATCAGAAAAATATATTAACTTAGGCACACAGGATCAAATGTCAATTCACTATAAAACCAAAAGCTCAAAAATATAGAAAATTTTAAACAGGAGTTCTAAAACAATGACATGTCCATAATTACTCTATAAAGGAGCATGCAGAACCGCTTTATCAGATCAGATGGCACTTTTGGGTGAGATTAGAGTATGTCCAGTTATTTGAAGAAAGTGAGAATCCTGACATCCTCAGGTAAAGAGTCTCAGGGTAAGGAAGACTTGTATATATGGGACCATCCTATTTTGCCTCCCTGTGCTGTAGTGTTTAAAGAGCAACCTGTTTAGAAAGCAGGTGGTAGAGTGCAAGAGCAGGTAAGATGCCAGCCATTTGGGTCCCACACCAGCTTGAATTTAAAAGTGACACCTTTTTTTCTTTTTTTGAACTTTGGTTAAAAAGTAGTTTTGGATGATTGCCTCTATAGCTTACATTTTATATGCAACTCTAAGAGAATTAGGGATCTGGCACAATCTAAGAAGTAAGGAAAGCCGATGTTCTGAATTTGAGAAGCAAAACCTCATATGTAGGGCATTTTAACCATTTTTTCTTTTGTTGAATCTGTCTCTTAAGGTGTGGTGCTATAGTTTATGTTTCCTCTGGAGACCGGAGTCTGTTCCCCCAGGTGGTTTGGATGCAGAAAATTATCAGGCACTTTTTGAGCGTGTGTGGTTCAGACTGAATCCCAACCTTTCAGTATTCAGACTAGTGGTGAACCTGGCATAACTGTTGAGAATGAAGCTCCCACCTGAGTATGAGAAATAGAACCCAGGCTCCTGGACCAGAGAAGACTCCATTTTGTTAGGGTTGTCTCCCAACAAGCTTCTCACAATCAGCAACACCAGTCTATCGCCACGTGGTCTTGCCTGATTTACTGTTGCCTCATCGGTGAGAGTGAATGAGGCACTCTGGTCTGCCCTGGGACAGACCCTGCAGGATTGAGGGTTAGCAGCAAATGTCTAATGTCTTCTTGTCATCATAAACTTCCAAATGTGAGGACCCATGGGAAAATGACTTATAGTGGAGCATATTCCTCTGGTGCTGGAGAGGAGATCTGCAGAGAAATCTTTAAGATCCCTTAGCTAGTGGCCCCAGCCAGAATCTTGCAGTTGTGTCAACCCTTTGTTGTTTTTCTTTTCTTGTAGCCAAAGACAAACTGGGATTAGGGACACTGTCTACTGATGCCAGATGTGCTATGAGCCTGGATGGGACAGTGAGAAATGGCTTTGGCAGAACCCAACATGCCTAATGCAGAGAATAGGTGATTGGGGGACACCTAGGCCCTGAATTCCCTTGCTGGAGTCTTGCAGCATGTGGTCTTGCACTACCTGTATTTAATTAGCTTGGGGTACCCATTATTGTCCTCCAGAAAGAGACAGAAGGGCACACCTCAGAAAAATGTAGGGTGCGGAGGAGCTTACTTCAGTGACAATCCCAGCAGAGCCCCCAGCTAATAACAGTCTTGAAAATAAGGATCAGGTAATGTTTCCCAGATATTGGAGATAAACAACTGAGAAATGCTGAGGCAAGAGCAAAAAAGTCAGTTTTATTTAAGAAACAGAAGGCTGGGGAAGGAGAGGAGGAGAGGGCTCCTCTGACTCCTCAGAGAGGAGGGAGGCCAGAGATGGTGTCTGAGTGAGAGGGAGTGTCTTGCCCTTTATAGATTTCTGGTTTCCTTTCTTAGGCCTCCTCCTCCTCTTATCTTGCCTATATGGTGACCAGAAGGCAGCAAGACAGCTGCAGGAGTTGATCCCTCCCCTCCCCTGGAGGCTCTTAGCAACTGGGTGATGTGGAGTGTTATCTATCCATTTGCCTTTCTTTGATAATCGGCTGCCTGTTCTTTGCCCCAGTCTCAGTTTCATAACATTTAT